AGGAAACCCACAGCCCCAGGAAAGAGAGGTAACGGGCCAGGAGGCAGCCGGCAGCAGGAAAGCTGTCCTAGGGCAGAAACGAGCTAGAAGGCTCAGCTCTCCATCCACAAGAGTTGTGTCCTCTTGTCTGTGATGCACCAGAGCTGACCCTCAGCCGAAGCCTGCAGCAGGCTGGGGACTCAGCGAGGTGTAGCTCTGTGCACCATTTGGCTGGTGTGACTTCCTGGCTCCAAGAAGATGCCCCTTGTCTCCAAGAGCACGCACCAGAAACACAGGAGCAGTAAAAGCTAATCTCAAGGCTCACAAGCAGTCAGGAAGATCAGATGGTCTGCGGGGTGCATGCCGAGGAGCAGGCATTGAGCAAGGTAGTAAAGACAATGTGTCACCTCTGCCTCTCTCAGGGAGGCTGCCCTTGTTGGCTTCCAGAGTCAGGCCATGGCTGGGATGGGGCCAAGATGAAGCCAGGGGCGCCCGGTCACACGGAAGATCAGACCCAGACGGGGGCTCAGCATGGGGCAATATCAAAGTCAAAAACTGTGATCATTTTGCCACCTGAAAGTGCTTTTCCTCTGTTTTTCTCTCCCTCCCAGGTCCCCTGAAAGAAAAGATAAGGATTCGGAATGAAGGGTGGGGAGGGGGCCGCAAGGGTCCTTCGGGAGTCAGTCTGTAGATCTAAGCAACAAGCACGGCCCAGAGTACCTTCCCCTGTCCTGTTCTGAAGCAGGGTTCCAACTCCTTATAAAGAGCAACTCAGACTTATGCCCATACTTCACATTCTCCAGCTGGATAATGATTTTCCCAAAGAACCCTCATTAAACTGTGTAATAACTGCAGGCCTGACCCCAGAACCAGATCTTCACATGGACCGTGGGAAGTTTGGAGGCGAGTCTACCCCTAAGCCTTGTGGACCACGCATCTCCAATGTGCTGACCAAGGGAGGCAAGAAGCAGAGAAGAGGTTCCGGCCATCAGCTACCTGGGAGGTGAGTAGCAGAGAACTGGCCAGCACGAGCCATCAGGGGCCTGAGGGGATGTACAGAAATCATCTCCAGAAATCTTCAGAACAATGTGGTTCAGAAAAGCACAATGATTCTCCCCATGAAGTTTTCTTTTCAAACTAGACTATAAAACCCCACTCACACCTACACCTCCAGCCTAATTGGGGTGTGACTTCCAAGCCACTAACAAAAAGAAAGAAATGCAATTTGCCCTCACAAGTGCAAGCTAATTGAGGGGTACATCCGTGAGCCTGTCCGTCACTTTGACATGCCCTCTGTGACTAAGCAGCAAACAGCCACCAACAGCAGAAGCGCCCACCATCTCCAAGACAGAATCCCACACCCACCAGACAGACGTCTCCCAGCTTCTGTGGGAGGTGCCAAGTGGCTCCCAAGAAACCTCTGCAGCCTGCTTCAGGACCAGCCAGAGGGAATCAACTTAGACCTGGGGAAGGGGGCAGTTCCGAGCAAGACAGATGTCACAGGGCAGGGTTGGGTGACCTAGGGCAGGACTGGGTGATCTAGACGGTCCACACTCACTGGATGAAGAAATTGAGTCTCAAAGAGGTTTAGTAACCCCTTACCCCTCCACACCCATGTCTGGAAGACAGTTTGGTGGTTTCTCATAAAACTAAACCTGCTCTTATCATATGAACCAGAAATGTACCCCTTGGTATTTAACCAAAAGAGCTGAAAAATGTCTATGCAAAAAACTTCACAGAGATGTTTACAGCAGCTTTATTCACAACTGCCAAAACTTGGAAGCATGCAAGATGCCCTTAAGTAGGTGAATGGATAAACAAATGGTCGTCCGTCCAGACAATGGAATGTTATTCAGTACTAAAAAGAAATGAGCTATGAAGCCATGAAAATGGAGGTACATGGAGGAACCTTAAATGCATATTACTAAGTGAAAGAAGCCAATCTGAAGAGGGCTTATATACTATATGATTCTAACTCCATGCCATTCTGGATAGAGCAGAACTATGGAGACAGTAAAAAGACCAGTGGTTGGAGGACTGGGGTGAGGGAAGAACAGGGGGAGCACAGAGGACTTTTCGGGCAGTGAAACTACGCTGTATGATCCTATCATGATGGACACAGGTCAGTGTACATTTGTGCAAACCCATGGAGTGTACAAAACAAAAAGTTAACCTTAATGTGAACTAAAACAATGTCCAGCTTTGGCAATTTCCATCTCACAGACCAGAGGCCATGAATGAAGGTGGAGGGTGGGGGCAAGGCCCCTGAAGGCCACACAAGCCAAAAATCTGTACTGTTATTACTTCTCGTAGCCTTTCCCCAAAGGGACCTATGGCATCTGCTAGGATGACTGTGCACCAGGGAAGAGGAAAGAACGAGATTTTTCAGTGGTTACCAAACACTGACTCTAGGCTGACACTAACACCAGGAAACCCAAATGTCACTGTGGTCCACCAGGCAGAGAGGGGCTTATAGGAACCAGGTGATCAGATTCATCCTGGGGTATTTCTCCAGTTCGGAACCCGTAACTGGAACAGACACACTCGGCAGCCAGCAGAACCCCCACACTTGTTCCCGAACTTGCGGAGCCAGGGCTGCTCTGGTGGGAAAGGCCCTAGGACTGCCTCTCCTTACAAAACCAGGTACCATACACCGAAAGAGGTTCTGCATCCCTGGAGGGGGTGATCAGGGTGAGGTTAGAGCCACCGTCAAGGATCTGAGGGATGCAGGGCGGTGACTGATACCACACCCCATTCAATGCACCTAGCTGGCCCGTGCACAAGACAGGCAGATGGCGGAGAAGGCCAGCGGGTTATCACGAACTGACCCGGGGGTGAGCTACCCAGCTGCTTGCTGCTGCAGCAAGTTTGGTCTCCCTGATAGAACCAGTGAACACAGCATGGGACCCACGGTGCAGCTACTAGTCGGTGAGTGCGTCCCCTGTGCCCGGAGTAAAGATCGCAGAAGCGTCTGCTCTCACCGGGCAAGGCCAGCAACGCATCTTCCCTGTGCTGTCATAGGTCTATCAACACTCCAGCCCCCTGTCAGTGTCTGGTCCTCAGGGGCCTTGATTAGCTCTCCTTTCCACAGGACATCATACAGTTACAATATTAGGCTGATTGGACCTAATGAGCAGGAACTAGCAACTATCCGCATCTCTGGGTAAGACATCTGCACACCAAAGGATGCCAGTGGCAGACACGGATGATGGTTGCAGCCTTCAAACGGCTCCTATAGGTGAACTACAGAGCAGACCCTCAGGATTTTGGAGCAAACCATGACGTCCTCTGCAGATAGCTACTCTCCTTTCAAGAAACTGCTTCCGGCCCTACCTTGGTCAAGAAGGAACGCTCGACCATGGTCCTCCAAGCTACCACACGACTTGGCTACTATGAACTAGATGCTGTAGGACCACAGGCGTTTTGCAGCTCGCGCACATCGTTGCCCCTCTGCCCACTCCCTCTGATCTGCAGCAGCGGCCCTGCTCCTCCAAGGCCCCATTCAGCCTCTCCAGCCTCTGGGAACTGTGGGTCTTCAGCTCCCTGATGAGGGGCCGGCTTCTGCGGGACACCTCATCACCAAGGTCAAGGCCCCGAGAACAGTCATGGACTCCTGTCGGTCCCTGTCCTTGACCTCCCACCTCACACCCACCGTCCCTCCCCACTGTCTCCCTGCAGATTAAGGCCCCATGAACAGCAGCTTGGTGGAGATGCTCTCTCATCTCCCACAGCTGCACACAGCCAAACCCCTGTAACTGACCATGCACGTGGTCTGCTTCCCTGACTGAACCCCAGGACAGCCGGTGTCCCAGGGGGAGAGGGTGCCACAGTCCAGTGACTTCGAGTGAATGAACAAACACAGTTCTTTTTTTAAAAAGATTTTATTTGAGAGAGAGAGAAGGAGCAAGAGAGAGCACGAGCAGGGGGAGGGGCAGAGGGAGAAGCCGACTTCCTGCTGAGCCCGACGCGGAGCTCACTCTCTGGACCCCAGGATCATGACCTGAGTCGAAGGCAGAGGCTTAACCGACTAAGTCACCCAGGCACCCTGAGTTAACGTAATTCTCTCCTGCAGAACTTTCCAGTGTGTTAGCCGGCCAGTGTACATTACGAACATTCAAAAGGAGGAACAGAGCAAGTACTGTTTCCCAAACTTACTGGACCACAGACCTCCTTTTCTTTATGGAGCCACGGATAAGCCCTGTAGGATTTGACGAAGAAAGAATGTAGGGGCTCTCCCGGTCCCTCACTTCTGGGCCTGGGCCCCCAGCAGGGCCATTCGGGTACTGACCATGCAATTTCACTCCAAGCACTTTACCCCTAACCCTCACCCAACACCATGGCGATGTTTGCAAGTCAGCGCCTGTCCAGACTCTAAGGGTACAAGGAAACAGGGCTTCACCCCCGCAGGAGGAACAGGTCACAGTGATGGTAAGCATGCTGATGTAGCTTCCCCTCCATCGTAAAAATTATATACATAATATTAATTACACATGATAATTACACATAATAATTTTCAAATTACTGTAATTTGTAAAATTATCTTCTGAGCACCCCTGTGAAGTAAACAGATAAAGGCAATCTCCTGTGACAAAACCGTATAACAGAAACTTGCATAAAGACAGTATGCAGAGGCAAGCGGATATTCGGGAGGCCGGTCGGCCGCGGGTTGGGTGTGGCCAGGTGGGCTTGAGCGGGCTGCCCAGCGGCCTCCTGGTGCCTGCCCGGCCACTCCACGGGTCTCTCGGGCTCCGAAGCAGGGACGGAAGTGCTGTGGTTCCCACATGCACAGCGGCAAGCCAGGGCCGCGTCTAACGCACGAAGGAAACTCCCGCCGGAACCCTCCACGCGCAAGCCCGCTTGCTCCCAGTCTGCTTCTCTCTATTGCAACACTGGCCAATTTCGTCCTTTTCTAATTCCTCGCCACCTAAGAGGCCCACGATTTCCACGGAGCACTGCGTGCAGTCACAGCCACCAGAAGCGTGCCCAGTCCCAGGACACAGTTTGGGGCCAAGCCCGCCTACCTGTACGGGAGAGCTTCTGCAAGGTGGCGGCGAGGTGCTGCAGAGCCAGCGGGGACACTTCATGGCGGTCTACGTCTATCGCTGGAACCTTCTGGCACCTTCCAAACACTCCATCTGTGGGCAAAGGGAGGCAGAGAAGAAAGAGAAAGTGACGTGTCGTTTTCAGAGAGAAGAAAGGTATTAAACACATCCTTGCAATATATTCTAATTATGCACCGTGCTGAGGCTTTGGAACACGGCTTGAGAAAGTCATCAAAACGCTATCAGAATTCAGGAGCCCTTGGAAAGTAATGGTTTATTTAAATAAAAGAGCATCATGGAAAGCTCAATTGCAAAGGTATAGAGAAAAGGACGTGAATGCAGAGTCGTTTGCGTTTTCGATTCTATTTCGCATCCCTTGCCCCCTCGCCTTCCCCACCTCTCACTTTTTATAATTTCCTGCCCCTGGCTTTCACCTTTCTGATGTGAAGCTTTGCTTCTGACAGTCCCATGACAAAAAAAAAAAATCAATAATATTCAGGGCCAGTTTTCCAGATGAGAAACAGAACACCCAGGAAATATAAATATTAATTTGCAGAAGCCATGAGGACTGTGGAAGCGTCTGCCACATGGGTGCCGTGTTGGAGGGGGCTGGCAAACAGGGGGCAGACCCAGGAATGGCAACAAGGCCCGTTTCAAGGGGAGCTTTCGGCAATGTGGCAAAGGAGAGGTGCTCCCGGAACAGGAGGCATGAGCAGGGACCAATTTATCCAGCTCTGTTCCATTTGTCTAAAATGACAGACTCTGCTCATCATCTTTTCAAACCACACCTTCTAATTAATTTAGGCCCCAATTAGTCTTTATTCGGCAAATTGTTCACTTTGAAATAAGCTTCCTGTAGGGGGTTCAAACATCCAAATTACTGTCTTTCGTACACACAAAAAGTAATTCAAGGGCCAGTGCTGATACACAGGGCGGCCATCTGCAGTTTCAGGCCCGGACGGAAAGGGGAAGCGCTTCTTTATTGTTCACGACGGGCTCATTGCACGAAGTGTAGCTGAAGAAAGCCATTCAAATGCAACAAGTTTAATTAGCAGAAACACATTTGCCCAGTGCCAGGCTGACTCAGTAATTACTGGTCTGATATTACATATGTGCTTCAGACGGACGGTGCTGTGTGATTAGCAGAAAATCTTCTTAAGTATCGAAAGCACACCGTGAATTTCTATGGGACTCTGCAAAGCTCACAGGATCTGGGAAGACAACCTGCACAGCTGAAGTCAACCTTCTGCCATCGCCACCACACTGGGCTCTGGGGCACTCTGTCTGAGCGACTCCCTTCAATTAACACAATGGCCACACTGGGCCAGAGTGATTCCCAACGACAGTTCTCTTGGAGGGAGGGTCTTGTCCCCCTGCCACCACCCAGTGAGACAGGCAATTTTCTCCGCACAAACACAGACAGTAAGTGTCCCTGTGCTTTTGATTTTATTTTGTGCAAAGAACACCATGCCCGTGGATGGTGTGTTTATTGGGGGGGAGGGGGAGGAAGAAGGGGCTAAGAGAAAAACAAAGAACTCTTTAGAATGCACCTAAAACTTTCAATTTCTTTTGCAAATGGAGTATCTTGAAAGTAAAATCATAATGCATGGGGACTAGAAGGAGCATGAAGATGGTCTGACCCCACATTTTACAAATGAGCATCGTGACCAAGGCCATAGGAGGAGGAGAAATCGGGTTCCTGACTCCCTCCCGGCTGGAGTCCTCATCAGTGAAAAGTGGCCAGACATTTCCTATCTATCTTGGAACATCCCAAATGAATTAATTCCCTTCTGAAGTATAATGGCATCATTCTTTAAATTTGGTTTATGCTGTAAAATGTCATAAATATATTTTCAAAAAATATTTATTGGATTTTCTTGAAATCTTTCTCTTAAACATGTATTTAAAACACATATATATAATGTAATACAGAGTATTTTTTGTATTTTTAAAATTAGTTTTAGCTACTAATTTGGTTTTAATGATTTGAAAGTTGAAACTAAACTAACGATTGATTCTCTTTGCCCCTAGACTACAGCCTTACTGATAGGACAGACCTTTCCCCAGTACATTTTTTAAAACTTTATTTTTTAAATAAACTTTTTTTATTAATTAATTTATTTATTTGAAAGAGTGTGTGTGAGTTCGGGGAAGGGCAGAGAGAGAGGGAGACTGAGGCAGGGCTCAATCTCTCAACCCTGAGATCATGACCTATGACCTAAGCTGAAATCAAGAGTCGGATGCTCAACTGACTGAGCCACCCAGGTGCCCCAAATAAACTTTATTTTTATCATTTTTTAAATTTTGATTCTATTTATTTGACAGAGAGAGACACAGCGAGAGTGGGAACACAAGCAGGAGGAGCGGGAGAGGGAGAAGCAGGCTTCCCGCAGAGCAGGAAGCCCGATGCGGGGCTCGATCCCAGGACCCTGGGATCATGACCTGAGCCGAAGGCAGCTGCCTAACGACTGAGCCACCTGGGCACCCCTAAACTTTATCTTTTAAAGCAGTTTTAGATTCACAGCAAAATTGAAGGGAAGGTACAGAGATTTCCCGTATACCTCCTGCCCTCACACATGCATGCCCATTCCCATAATCAACAGCCCCGGCCAGAGTGGTGCACTTGCCCCAACTGATGAGCCTGCATTGATACATCATCATCACCCAAAGTCCATAGTTCCTATCAGGGCCATTCTTGGTGCTGGACATCCTATGGCTCTGGACAAATGCACAATGGCATGTATTCACTCTTTTGGCATCACACGGGGTACGTTCACTGCCCTGAAGATCCTCTGTGCCCCACCTGTTCTTCGCTCTACCCCTCTCAGCCCTGGCACCACCGGTCATTTGACTGTCTCCACGGCTGTGTCTTCTCCAGAATGTCACAGACAGCTGACCCTTGAACAACGCTGGTTTAAACTGCGTGGGTCCACGTTTAGACACAGATAAATTTTTTTAGAAGTACAGCACGGTATTGTGTAGATGCACGTGTAGTGTGTTTGCATGTGCACGTGCACGCATCTACACGTGTGTATACAGTGCGTGTGCACATGCATGCACGTGTGCCATGTTCATGAATGCATGCGTGTGTCTGCATGTGTGCTGCACGGTCATGCCTTTGTCTTCGCGTGTTCTGTGCACGTGACATGTATGTGTGTGTACGTACACACAGCCTCGACTGTTTGTTAAACGGCCAAACTCAGTGTGAGAACCCACGGATACTGCTATTCCAGCATCGTAAGTTCACCTAGCAAACAGATACTGTTAATACCGCCTTGAAAGAAACCTGATTTCCGTATTTATTACTCGATAAACAACGTCGCGAGCCCCTTCTGTGTCCCCTGGAGGGCCGTGTGCACACTCTCATCAACACGCTTCGCATTATTTCCAGCCCGTATCTGCTCTGCATTCGCGAGTCCATCCCTGCCCCGTGTTCTGCCTTGCACCCCAACCTTGGAAACGCACAGCTCTGCTCTAACGTCACCTGCTGGACAGACGGAATACTGTGGGACATGCTTCTGGGGCAGAAGTGGACATGCAAACTGTTCACGCACGATTGTGATACAGAATACAGAGGAACATGCTACCAGGCAGCATGAAGAAGGGGCACTGACCTCATGCAACATACAAAGGCCCCAGGGAAGTGGCATCAGGTTGGGCTCCAGCATTTACAGAACGGGGTTGCCTACATGGGGCTGGCAAGGACATCTAGGTAGGGGGGCAGGCTCTGTGGAGGGCAGGAAGCCCCCGATCCCTAGAGCTCTGGGACCTAGGGACTGAGCTCTGAGACGTGAAGCAAGTCAGACAAAGCCTGAGGGCGTGGGGGCCTTCCTCCCAGGAGCTGCTAGGACCTTACAGGCTGGTCTTTCGTTCTGCCAGGAGCCACGGGGTGAAGGGAACTGCCTGTCCATAGGAGGGTGGTTCAGCGAGGATGGCCACCATGGAAACGAGAGAAGGGATAGATCCGCAGCCTTTTCAGAGGGGATGCCCTAGGATGCCAATGCTGCCCAGCAGCAGGAGAGCCCCTTCCATGTGTCTGTGGCACAGAAAAGTTCTAGGGTTCAAGTGAATATTCTGAAAGATGGCTCAGAGAACATGTGTTTTTCCAAGCAGTAACAAAGCTGCCTTGCTGCCACCTGGGAGAGGGGGGGAAACAGACGCCCCAGCGGCGCCCGGGCTGAGACTGCACCCTTCCTGGGGGGTCACCGCCCAGGCCTCTGTGGGCAGCAACCACAGAACCATGGCATGCGCTTAACATCCCCAAGTCTGCTGACCTCAGGGGAGCTCTAAGGCTGTCCCCAAGTCCCAGATTTCTGGAATGGTAATCCCCCTCTTTATTTTGCAGAGCAGAAGACTGGACCTCCACAGCTTATGGAAACCAGACAGTACACGGTTTTAAACACAGAAAAAGAAGGGATGTCTGTGGTCCCGAGAAAGCAGATGCTGGCCTCCACCTGAGCATCACTGACCAGTCATCCACAACTGGGCAGCTAGTTTCTTCCATTAGAAAGAGAAACCTTGATGATTTTTTTGCTGGATTTCTGGAAGAATGTGAGAAAACAGCTTGTTTATATTGTCTGTACGTTTGTTGTAACCAGTGCTCCCTGGAGCATTATTCCCACGGGCAAAAGTCATTTTCACTCATAAACATCACTGTCCCCTAAACACTGCTGCAGGCCAGTGGCGATGCCCTCCTCCTGGACCACTTCTCCCTTGCTCTGTGGGGCTGCATAGCACACACGTGTGCACTCACATGCACACACATCTCCACGTCCCTCTGGCACTGACATTCTCCTCACACCTCAGAGCACCGCGGGCTCCTGGACGGCAAGCATCGAAGCTCCGACTCTTAGGGCTCCCACATCTGACACCGTCCTCTGCACCCACGGTGGGTTCAATAAATATTTGTAACCGATTAACTGGTGTTTTTCCATTTGCCTGAAAAAAAGCTGAGATGCCCACAGAAATTTATTACACCATTAGCTAGCATCCAAATTTGCTGGAATCTCACACTGATTTACAAGCCTACAACTCCCAGCAAATGACCTGGCTGAAGGCCCGGGGATCGCCAAGACCAAACCAGGGGGGCTCGTGCCGGAGCCCGCAAACGACGGCTGTGCACCTTTTGCATTTTCTCAGCAAACACCATGCCGCTTCCTCCTTCAACTCTGATTAGGTTCAGGGCACTGGTTCTCCCTCACACATGGAGGAGGTGGTCCTAGTGGACCTCTGCTCTGAGGAAGGGACTTTATGTTCAGAGACACTGGCCTTCCCTCTCAGGATGCTGTCGTTTTGGGACTGCTGAGGGCCAGGCCTCCCAGAGAACAACCCAAACCAGCAGGTCAGACCACCAGGCAGCCGTGGGCTTGAACGGGTTGGTTTAGGTCTCTCCAGGAGGGAACCATTTCTATTCTGTTTGCATCATGCAACTCGCCTCAGGCTTGCATTAAAGGACATTAAAAAAAAAAAAAAAGCCCGTGGAGCCTAAATTGTACACCTACCGAGAAACATCCCTCAGAGTATCACCAGCGTCTCTCTAAAAGACCCATCCAGGGGAGGAATCCGCCAGACCCCAGGGCGAGGACCAACCACCTTCTACCTTCCAGTGGCCCTCTCTGCCTGGTCATGGGGCAGCTCTCATCACATTACTGACCTTTCTTGCTGTGCAGGCTCTGGTAGTGTTTTCTTCAAGGAAGTAACCATGTTCTTTGCACCCACGATACTTAACCCTCTCTTCTTCTTTTTGTAATGTCTTTACCTGTTTTACTTTTTATACATCTTTTTTACATTTCTTCATTATTTCTTTGGGAAGAAATAATGATACTAGGTAATTCATAAATACAATGTGATCACCTTATTTAGATGTTCAGGGTGGGATAATTAGGGCACATTTAGAACTGATTGCAATGTACATACCTGTTCAACAATTTATATAAATAGTTTATTCATGTAAATAATATGCATGTGTAAATGTATTATCTTGGTTCCCTAGAAACCTTAAGAACAATGTTCTTGATTTTGGAGTAAGAAGGGGATAGGCAGAAAAGGTGTTGCAATCATAAAGTCTTTGCAAATGAGGGTGAACCAGAGGTGATACTCAAATAATTATGGGGCAGGGGGCCCCTGGGTGGCTCAGTTGGTTAAGCTTCCAACTCTTGACCTCAGCTCAGGTCTTGATCTCAGGATTGTGAGTTCAAGCCCCGTGTTGGGCTCCACACCGGGTGTGGAGCCTCTTTAAAAAAAATTTATTATTATTATTATTATTATTATTGGGCAGGAGAGAAACATAAACTAAATCACCCACATGCAGAATTCCTTGCAGGGGTAAAAACAAGAGCTTCAGGAAGTCTAGTGCAGGGACCAGCCTTGCTTCTTTCCATAATCACAGAAACAACGGCCTGGGACACGCGTTCAGGTTCTCACATAATGCACACCGTAAACACCAGATGCATTCATTCACCTTGTGAAGCAGCCAGCCAACCCCGCGGGACCAAAGGAACAGGAGTGTCTAAACAGCTCCGGGAGCTCGCCTGGGAAACACAGGAAGTAAGAACAGGTTGATCACAGGGCCTCCTGGGGCATTCCAAGGATTTGACTCAGTGCTCAGAAAGGGCACACAGGCTGAGAGAGATGTGTTCGGGGATCCCAGTCCGCGCGCTTGACCCCATGGCCGCACCTGCTGCATCTGAGCACCCATAAGCCGCCATCTAGGGAACATATACGGTTTATAAAACTGGTTCATCGCTCGCCCCACCCTGCATCGAACCTGGCACCTCGGCGGCCAGTGAGCATGAAGCAGCAACAGTGACCCCTCGTGGCCGCCTCCCCGCGTCACTGGATCCTCATTGGTGACAGATGGCAGCGGTGCTCTCGGGGAGCCCGGACAGGCCAGACTCCGAATCGCCCCAGCCGGTGGCCCCATGAGCTGGCTGGACCCTAGCTGAGAGATGGTGATGGTGTTGTTCCCCAGGGAGGCAGGGGGAGTAAGGGACTTGCACACGCACACTTGCACGTGTACACACAAGCTCATAACCCACCCAAGCTCGCACGCTTACACACTCATACACCCATCTGTGCACGTTCTTGCAGGTTCACAATCAGGCCAAGGATCCCCCTCATCTGCAGACAGATACCTGCACCCACCTTGCAGCCTAAAGACCCTGTCACCCGCATCCAGCTGTTCCTGGCTAAACCACCCTTTCCTTCCTTCTGGCCTCCCCCTGAGGCCCCTTGGGACCCAGGCTCTCTCCCCTTCCAGACCCCACTGGGCTGCCCAGGGCACCCACAAGGCCTCTCACACAACGGCCACCCAGGAAGGACCTGCTCCATCGGACCCCAGGGGCACTCCGTGCAAAGCGTAGCTGGGGACTGACAGAGGTAGGGATCAGCCGTCCAGCAGCCGCGTGTTAGCCTCAGTCCTCAAGGTCGGGAGCTGGTGATGTGTGGCCACGCCTTGTGTGAATATTGGGGATCAACTTCTCCCATCACCAAGGAGCACGACAAGGTCTGGGAAGGGAAATGGTGGCTCATAAGCCCCAGGCCGGCAGTCTGGCTGGGAAGTGGGCGACAGGGTGCTGCCGTGCAGGGAAAACAGTGAAGATGGCAGCAAGAGCAAACCCAGCCCGTCCCTGCTCACTGAGAGCTTATGTTCCGAGCGCTCTTCTAAGTCTTTTCCATGCAGTGATTCTAAATCCCTGTCACAGTCACACTCCCACGAAGCTGTTACACAGACGTCACCATCCCATTTCACAGCACCTGGAAACTGAGGCACAGAGAGGTCCAGGACCTTGCCCAACCCAGTATCATGCATCTGTGATGCATGGGAGTCCTGCCCAGGATCTTCCAGAATGGGCCACTTCACCTTCTGGCCACCATCACCCTGAGCATTAGCTTTCCTTCCCGAACATGTGCCCCAGTCTTTGACGCAGAAAATGTGGTCATCGTAGTTACGCTGCAGGGATGGAATGTCCAGTTCTGAAACAGTTAACAAAATCCCCTGGTCTCATGTCTGTCAGCTCTCAAAGGAAGAGCTAACATGGTCACACAGTTATGATGTCCCAGCAACATTCGGACGCACTCAACTCAGTTAACCCTGCGACAGTTCTCAGTGGTCTGAACTGTCATGGTGGGAAAACCAGGGCCCAGAGAGGTTGAGTGACCTGCTGCGGGTCGCACAGTAAGTGGCAGGCTGGCCTCGAGTCTGCACACTCGTTATGACTAACATGACGTCTCTCTTGTGCAGCTGTGACAGCTAGCACCTGGCCAGGGCAGGGGAAGCAAGACCAGACACCTTCATCGTTTTGATCGCCTAAGCCCACATCAGAAAAAAATAAACCACTGACGGTTTGAGGACCAGCACATGGCTGTTTTTAGCCAACTGATACCAGCAACAGTTTTGAGTGGACTTTTTCTGCACCGTGACAAGCCACCCATGGCCAGAGGGTCCAGGGCCCTTCCCCAAGGTCGTCCTCACGCCGGCACTGGCCATGGGGTTGGTGCCACGTGGCACCCAGAGCTCCTTCTGGCAGCCTGGAGCCACATGCACAACGGGGACGGGTGTGAGCAGGAGATTCTGACTTCCGATGGCAGCTGTGAGCGACCCTGATTAAACAGTGATCCACAGACCATGCTGGGGGCCTGCCCGTCCAGACGCTCAGGCCGGGCCTGCTTGCTCAGACAGCTGGGCCAGCCCATACACAGCCTGGACAGGCCAGCTCTGCCCCAGGCTGAGAAGGAGACAAGGGACAGAACATTCTTCACTGCTCAGCTGCCTTCATGTTTCCTAGTGAAATCAAGTCAGAGGCGAAGCACAAGTTACACGTCGTGCTGTGTAAACAATCCTACAAAGATACTGGGTGGACGTTATTTACTTCCTAAGTACGATGCTGAGGCACATGGTCCACTTAGAAGACTGCGCTTGCTGCACCTAAAATGGACGCTGTCCTCTGAGTTCACCTGAGCACAATGAGTCACAGCAGGGATGTGGAACGGGCCCAGGGGCACGAGGTTCCGGGTCCAGCTTTGCCACTCCTGTGCTGGGCCACCTGACACCTACCATGTACCGTAAATGCCCCCATGAGTTCTGCAAGAGCCAAGAGCTTGCACGTGTACACACAACGAGGGACCCCAGAGTTCAAGAAACTCACAGTCTCCGTCAAGGATCCGGACAAGTCTGATCTTTCTTTAAAAAGCAAACAATTAGGGGCGCCCGGGTGGCTCAGTCGAGCGTTTGACTCTTGGTTCCAGCTCAGGCTATGATCTCGGGGGTCACGGGCTCCATGCTCAGCAGGGAGTCTGCATGACCCTCTGCCTCTGCCCCTCCCCCCACTCGTACTCGTGCGTGCTCCTTCTCTCCAAAATAAATGAATGAATCTTTAAAAAAATGAAAATAAAAGCGAACAATTAAAAACAAGTCTCTTGCGCACTGTTGGTGGGAATGTAAAGGGTGCAGCTGCTGTGGAAAATAGTATAGCAGTTACTAAAAAAAATTAAACACAGAATTACCATATGCTCCAGCAAGTCCACTTTTGAGTTTATACTCAGAAGAATTAAAAGCAGAGACTCCAAGAAATACTTTCCACCCACAATATTATTCACAACAGCCAAGAGGTAGAAGCAACCCAAGTGTCCACCAGCAGATGAACAGAGAAACAAAATGTGGTCCATCCACAGAACGGAGTACTATTCAGGCTGTAAAAAGAAGGGAATCCTAACACCTGCTACCAGGTGAGACCAGCCAGTCACAAGGGACGAATGCCGTGTGATCCCCTCCCACGGGGTCCCTGGAAGCATCAGACTCACAGGGACGGAGAGTGGAGGGGCCTGGGGAGGGGGTTAGAGTTGAACGAGGACAGAGCTTCAGTCTGAGAAGGTGGAAGGAGTTCTGGAGAGGAAAGGTGGTGGTGGCCGCAAGACAATGTGAATGGCCTTAATACCACTGAATTGTACGTTTAACAAGGGTTAATATGGTAAAATTTGAATTATGTATATTACCCCATAATTTAAAAATTTAACAAAAAGCAATTCAAAATAAAAGAGTCTAACAAAGCAGAACCCTCTTCGAGAGGACGGAGTATGCGGGTTAAGAGACGTTACCGTGTCCCGCCCAGCGAGGGCCGCCTCCACCGGGAGGTGGGGGAGACGCGTGGGCTGCCGGCATCAGTGACAGCTGCTGTGGGGTCACGACCACAACTGTGCCTGGCCGGCAGGTTTTCGGGGGGCCTCTGTGCCCTTCCAGTCACCAGAATGAGGTCAAATCTAGGTGAGCTCAGATCAATGAGCACACCTTGCCCACAAGCTAGGCCCAACCGTCTGAATTCAGGGAAACCCCAGCCCCTCCCATCTGATGAGACACGTGGGCGTCAAGATGTCACAGGACCTGAGTGCCTGGAAGCGAAGGCCCCGAGACAGGCCTGGTTTGCTGGAGAAAGTCAGGGCTGATCAGGGAGGGCTTTCTGGAGGAGGCAAGGCCAGGGCGCTATACCACTGCGGCCCAGCTGACGATGGCTGGGAGGCCCCTGGCCCCCTGACCGGTCTTCCACAGCTGCATGGGAGAAGCCTTCAGCCTGGGGAGGGCTGGCATCTAGCGGCCACAAGCCTGTCCGAATACCGCCAGTACCCGGAAAGTCTGGGATTGTGCGGCTTTGTTACAAGGACTCTCGGCTCCACAGGGGAGCGGTGGCTCCAGTCACAGTGAAGTAGGGCCACTTCCTGTGTACCCCTCAGCAAGTGCATCCCCTCGCCCATATTGTTAGGTTGCTTGCAATGCTTTGCATCTGGGGTGCGAACGCAAATTCTACCACCTGGAATTTAATACGAGACACTCTTCAGAGCGTTGGTTGCAATGTCACCCAGGAATTTGGAATTGCATACAAACGTGGGAAACCAGATTTTTCTAGCTCTCGGATAAGCAAAAGTAAAGACCAAAGAGGCCCCAGATGGAATCCACCCAGACAGAGAACGAGAGGCAGCGGTATTTTCCTTTTCCCGCAACTTCAGTGCGAGTGACACACTGAAGGCTCGCAGTTCAGGATGCACGCAGTAGGCCCTGGTGGCATGCATTCGTAAGGCGCCGGGGAGAGTAAAACCTGGAGCAATCTGGGCCGCAGCTGATGAGAAGCTGCAGGCCCGCTTCGTGCCAGGGTCTTGCTGGAATCGTCCTTCCCTCAAACACCCCTCTGTTCACCCGTGTCTTCTGTCAGCAAGCAGCCACGCCGAAGTGAGGCGCCCACGAGAGACACGTCGCCCAACGCAGGGAGCTCGGATCGCAGGCCTTAGCTGGGGAGTGCCTCACCAGCTCCCACACCCGTCCACTTCAGGTCACAGCGACAAAGCCCAGGACCCTGTGAACAAAGGTGCGCGGTAGTCTGGGCCTCCCTGCTAGTGTGTGAACAGGACAGCTCCCGGAACACGCGGTCTGCAGGGAGGCGGGAGGCCCGGCCGAAGGTAGACTCCAGCCCGTTGAGCTGATTGCTACTCGACCCAAACAGACCCAGACTTCTTTCAGTTCCACACGGGCACTGGCTCCAGCAAGGCCCTCAGGTGGCTGGGCTGCACTCTCAGGGACGACCGCCGCGACTCGGTTCTGGAAACCTCTCAGACGGCGACCACATCCCATCGGAACCAGCTTCCAGAACTCACACGTATCTCAGGGAGGGTACGCTGAATGACCCAACTACCTTCTCTTCCAGGGCTTTAGACTCAGGCCGTGCGGAGACCTGGCAGCGGGACGTCCAGTGCTGC